GGCAACAAAATAGGGTGACGTTGGCCTACTGAGATGTCACTCAGCTCGAGGCGACCTCCCACCTTTAGTAATTGATAACCGAATACATTGTCCAGGAAGGGATTTAGATGCTTTAATGTACCTTCGGCTGGGTTCCCTCGTTGTAGGCGTTGTATATCAATTTCGAAGAATTGCTGTTGGATGACCCAAATAATACAGTGCAATGTCTTTTGTAGCTGAATAGGTTGGAGGGTACATTCTCCGTTCTTCAATTTATTCTTGGTTACATGATAAAAACGCTGTACCTGCGCTATTACTCGTAGCATCTTAGTGTATGAACTATATCTTGACAATACCTGTAATACGTAGTTGTCTTCATTTGTGTTAACGAATACAACCTTTCGCGTCTCTTTATTGACTTCTTCCATATCCAGGTTGTGACATTTCAAATGCGGCCAGTATTTATCAGCGAGTAACAAAAATTCCGGCCCCGTAAACCAACAAGACTCTGATAATTGGCGGATGTTACAGCCGCGCGACACAACATCTGCCGGGTTGGATTGGGTAGGAACGTGTCTCCATTGCCCATTTGCGGTAATATCTTGAATTTCCGCTACTCGATTGCCAACGAATGCAGACAGGGTTGATGAGTGCTGCTTCAACCAATGTAATACAATCTGTGAATCAGTCCAAAAAAACGTTTCACCCTTAAATTGCGCAAATATTGGTTGGACCTTCTGATACAGTTTGGCAAGAAGTAAGGCACCACAGAGTTCTAGTTTAGGTAGCGACTTCCGCTTTATAGGTGCCACACGGGATTTTGCAGTGAATAGCCTGACCGTCACCTTACCTGATGTGTTTTGTGATCGGAGAAATATACAGCAACCATATGCGCGTATTGAAGCGTCACAGAAACCGTGTACATCAACCTGTTGATAGTTTATGGATAGGCAGTACCTCGGCACCTTAACCGATGAAAGCGTTGTAAGATCTTGAATAAATGTTTTCCACGCTGAGTGAAGATTTTGAGGGACTGACTCGTCCCAGTCCACACGCAAAAGCCACAATTCTTGCATCATAATTTTGGCTACGAGTATGATCGGTGCTAGTAATCCAAGCGGGTCGAATAATGAAGACGCAAGGGATAAGATGGTGCGTTTTGTTACAATATGACCTGGTTGTGCATTGAACGAAAATAGGAAAACATCTTGCATTTGGTGCCACTTGATGCCTAGAGCGCTGGTGACTGTATCTGTATCAAGATTCAAACTCTTTGTTGTAGTATCGCTGATGAAGTCATGATGGTTTGAATGCCATTTGTCAAGATCGAAGCAACCCTTCTGTAGAATGGCCGTTAACTGATGTCTGATATTGGTGAGTTGATCAATGGAATCTGCTCCACCTAAGAAGTCGTCGACAAAGAACGATGATTTAATGAGTGCAGCGCCTATTGGGTATTGTGTTTCAAATTTGTCCGCCAAATACTGCAAACTCCTGGTTGCTAGAAAAGGTGCTGATGCAGTACCATAAGTGACTGTATTCAACTCGTAAGTACTAACAGGATCGGACTCCGTATCTCGCCAAAAAATATATTGGAATTTTCGATCTGGTTCATCTATCAGTATCTGTCGGTACATCTTAACAATGTCAGCCGTCAAGGCATATCGGTGCAAACGAAATTGAAGTAGCAACAAGTATAACTCCGGCTGAATTGTCGGGCCGACCAGTAGAATATCATTTAATGAACGTTGCGAAGTTGTTGAACATGACGCATCAAAAACCACCCTCAGCTTGGTCGAAGTGCTCGACGGTTTTAAAACACAATGATGAGGGATATAATAATGAGGTTCGTTGGTTTTCGGAGTCTCAACACGCGTCATGTGTCCGAGCTCTCGATATTGTTTCATGAATTCTTGATAGTCTTGCTTCAGTGCACGATTAGATGACCATCGCCGTTCTACAGAATAAAAACGGCGCAAGGCGATATTGTGTGTCAAACCAAGACAATCTGGTGAATCTTTGAATGGTAACCGAACGACAATTCTTCCCATCGCATTTTGGTGAACCGTTTCACGATATAATGACTCACACGCAACATGTGCTGGTGACCATGACTTTGAAGCCGATTGCACTTCCTCTATCTTCCACATCATTTCTAATTGATCGGAGACTGTATCTTCAACTGATAATAGGCATTTTGCTGCTGGTGATGCAAATGGCTGACCCTTGTACTTGCCAGATACAATCCATCCTAATAGTGTTTTTTGAAGTACTGGAAAATTTTCACCTAGTTTGATTTGACCGACAGACAAAATATCAAAGAAACTTTCAGCTCCAAGCAAGAGATCAACGCGCTTGGATTTAAAGAATTGCTCATCGGCGAGAGGTGTATTTGGTGGAACCTTCCACGACGATATATCGATTTCAGAA